AAACAAACATCGATATTAAAATAAATATGTAATAGTAAATCCTTCACACTTCTCATTGAACTATTTTACCTATAAATTTGTTTGTCAGTTAATAAAACACAACTCTGAAAGGTTCTAGTTATTGATGCAAACATTTTATTCTCATACTTCTTCCTTTACATTTCTCAACCATTTGCCTTTACTGAACACTTACTTGAAATCTATGCTATCCAAAACTTGATTTCGAATTGCTCTGATGAAGTCGTCGTGCCCCCCAATCATTGTTGTTAAGATAGAAAAATGGTGCCACAGGTATCTCTTCATGATACTTAACATTGCTGCTGACTGATGCTCGACAGAGGGAGCCAGTTGAAGGATGAGGGAATCCGATACTTGCTGGAAAAAGTAGGTCATTAACTATGAATGAAAATATATAAATAATTAATTCTTGCATATATTAGCTCTCAAAGCGATACTGATTCCATACACTTTCGTTTGCCCTAAACAACGTGCAAGAAAGTACGGACTACAATTGTTCATAAAAAAAGAAATTATTGCAACAACATCCAACTACTTCTGTGTTCTTCTTGATTTCAAGTATCCAACCGAAAGCTAAACATTAATTTGTTATTAGGCCCTGGTGATATATAGGAACAATAAAAAAGAATGCAAACGTAATAATAATGATGCACGATCATCGTCTCCAATGTTATAATTGTGTTTCATGTTGTGACGAAACACTTTTAACTAATAATTAAACTAGTTGATGTCCAATGTTTAACAAATTTCCTTCAATGATAATAGCTGGGTAAAATAGAACGTTAATTAGCTAACTTGCTTATCTTACAATTTGATAAAAAGACAATAATTTTGACTCTTACAGCCAACAGATTTCACGAGCAATTCGATCAACTTAATCTCATGAAACTTTGTAAGTACAGTTTGTTGTAGACCGCTTCTGACGTCATTTTGTTATGATCGTGCTATATTCGCACTTCGATTTTTCTTCAACTTTATGAAACGTTTACTTCTTTTTTATCAGGAACCGATTCATATTAATATACATAACAAACTGTTGTTTATTACAATAATCAACAACACATGGATTTAGAACTAGGTTTTGTACTTCTTCTTTTGCCCCTCTCTCGGTTTATTCGGTCTCTTTTTTTCTTTCTGTTAAACGCCTGTCTTTTATATCCCTTTCTCAAAACCCATGCCAACAGGTCCTGTTCTTTAATGTAATTGCAACTCTTTTTCGTAATAAGGCTTCTAACGCTTCATCATCATAGGGATTTTTGTAGCTTCCAAATCTGGCTCAATTCAAAAATGCAAATACATAATTGTTTGTTTGTTAGTTTTTTTTAATTTCGCGCAAAGCTACACGAGAGCTATCTGCGCTAGCCGTCCCTAATTTAGCAGTGTAAGACTAGAGGGAAGGCAGCTAGTCATCATCACCCACCGTTAACTCTTGGGCTACTCTTTTACCAACGAATAGTGGGTTTGACCGTCACATAATAACACCCCCACGGCTGAAAAGGCGAGCATGTTTGGTGGGACGGGGATTCAAACCCGCGACCCTGAGATTGCGATTTGAGTGCCCTAACCACCTGGCCATGCCGGGCCTACAACAAAATAAAGAAATAAATATAAAAATAACTGAGAAATACAAAGAAACGCAATACAAAAGTTGTAAAGTATGAACAATTCGTTGTAAACGAAAAAAACAATAACAGAAAAAGAAAAAGATAAGGTAAAATAAAAAAAAGAAGAAATAAGCACAAAGGACAAAGGTCAAAAACAACATCTTCATATTGAACCGTGGAAAACTAACTAAGAAGACAGAATGAACATTAATTCCTTATCCAGGATATAACTATCAAGTAAATATTAACCTCATTAATTTGAAATAGAGGCAACCTGCAAAGCATATTTACGAATATAAACCAAGTAACCAAAAAAGATGCGAATACAATTGGAAGTAGAAAATAATTATAGCTGTGCCATAAAAAATTTACATGAATATAGAAAAGTAAATAAAACTCCTCATTAACTCCATTCCTCCCAAAAAAAGAAGACCGCTTCTAAAATAACATGAAGAAAGCAATAGAAAATAGGAGAGAATCAGGTACAAATAAATTTTATGCTACGCAAAAAACCTTAAAAAAACCAGATTATACAAAGCTAAAAGAAACCGTTTAATGAAATCTTATAACTCCCAAACTATGAAATTAAGACAGAGCTATACATATTCGATGACAAAACCTTGCCGAAACGTTGACATTTGCTGTTATGTTAAACATATTTTAAGGTTTTTCTTCATTACCTATTTAAGCCGTCTCCAACCATTATTAGAGCTATATATAAAACTAAAAGATAGAAACAAATAATACAAACATACAATATACAGCTGAAACAATAACGATTTCCAGAAGAGAAGATAAAATGTATAAAACACTGAAACAACATCTATGACACAATAATAATGTTGAAAGATATAAGAACAAAGTAATATCTATTATGAAACCAAAAATAGAAGAGAGGTGCAAGATAGACCTAAGGAAGAAGAGCAAAACCCAAAACAAAATGGCCGAACATACTTGTCCTTTCAGCCGTGATGGCGTTATAATGTGACAGTCAATTTCACTCTTCATTGGTAAAGAGTAGCCCAAAAATTAGCAGTGGTGTTGAATAGCTTTCATCCCTCTAGTCTATCGCTACACAATTAGGGATAGCCCTCGAGTAGGTGGCGCAAAATTTAAAAAACAATCATACAAATAATTCTAAGCAGAATTAAGAAATACATTCAACCCAAAGTTAACCCAGAAAAGGCTTACATTGTCCATAGAGCTCCAAAAACAACAATGAAAAGAGATCAAAGATTAAATATTATATATTTAATAATTTTATCACGATTTTCTAGTAAGGAAAAAAAAAGATATAAACAATTTATATATACTTGGTTTCAAATAATTTCTCGTTCCCCCCTCCCCTGTGGCTCATCGGTAATAATGAGGGCTTATAACGCCACATATCGGGTTTCGTTACCTGCGGTAGGTAGAGCACAGAGAGATGTGCATTTCTCTGAGTTAATTTCAGTACTCAAAATAACATAATGAGAAATAAAACGATTAAAAATTAAACCGGGAAGCGAACAACGTGTTCTCGAACAAAAAGGAAACAACAACAACCGATGCTGAGTCAAGTTTGTTTGCAGTGTAAGACAGCTAGTCATCATCACCCACCGCCAACTCTTGGACTACTCTTTTACCAACGAATAGTGGGATTGACCGTCACATTATAACGCCCCCACGGTTAAAAGGGCGAGCATGTTTGGTGGGACGGGGATTCGAACCCGCGACCCGCAGATTGAGAGTCAAGCGCCCTAACCATCTGGTTATGCCGGGCACTGAGTGAAGAGGAGAAAGTTTCCAATACGCTTAAGATAGAGACAAGAGAAAAATAGCACCCACAGAAAGAGCATTCAATAGAATAAATAACTCATCCAATATACGAAATAGTTAAAACATCGAGGAAGAATCAAAAACATAATGAGGAATTCTATCCCTGACGTTGTAGGTTTTAAATGAAAATTTCCCCTTTTATCTACGTTTTCCTCGTAGAAATTTGAAATTTCTGAGTTAGTTTTGGTATTAAGAGTAATATGCAGTCAAAATATATGGAATTTCATGAACCTTTGACTGTATGGACATGTACGTGTGACTTATCGTTTTTTGAAACATAGTGATAAATTTCACGAACCTTTGACTGTATGGACATGTACGTGTGACTTATCGTTTTTTGAAACATAGTGATAAATTTCACGAACCTTTGACTGTATGGACATGTACGTGTGACTTATCGTTTTTTGAAACATAGTGATAAATTTCACGAACCTTTGACTGTATGGACATGTACGTGTGACTTATCGTTTTTGAAACACAGTGATAAGCAGAATAGTTTGTTTGTTAGTTTTGTTGGATTTAACGTAAAGCTACTTGAGGGCTGTGGGTGTTAACCATCCCTAATTTTGCAGTGAGATACTAGAGAGAAGGCATCTAGACAACATCATCCACCGCCAACTCGTGGACTACTCTAATTAAATAATGTTTTTTATTGCTCCAACGTGCTGAGCGCATTTTCGTTTTGGTGGCAACGGGGTGCAAGCCTCGGATCCATATTCTGAAAAGCAAAATATTCTCAGGATGAAATACTCAGGAAACAAAGTTTTCGGGAAAACTCTCTATTGCCCGATTGCTTTGGCTGATAACATGACTAAAAGGCTACTGTGGTATGATAAGGTTGGCTGCCTGTACATTCTATTTCTACATATTTTCTTGCTCACGTCTCCTTGTAGAGAAGATACTTGTTAATCTAATGTACTAATTAAACGTCATACTTTAACTATAATTAAACACTTAATGGTTAGCCGTTAAAAGAGGGAGCAGTGTAGTAATTTTTCCTATATAGTTTTCGCCTTGAAGTGAAGCTCTAATTAATCTAGAGGAATTTTAGTATAGTTGAAATACCAGGCATAGTTTTATTTATTATGTTATCAGTATTATGAATCTAACTAAATTAAATTCATGTAACTAATGAACACAGGCGGCTGTTATTAAGCAATCGCCCCTCAGTGGCACAGCAGTATGTCTGCGGACGTATAACGCTAGAAACCGGGGTTCGATACTCGTGGTGGGCAGAGCACAGATAGCCCATTGTGTAGTTTTATGCTTAAATTCAAACAATAATATTAAGTAATCATCCAATCTTTTCATTTGAAATTAATTTATCAGAGTCTTCTATAGTTCACGAGCGTAACGAATTTTCATTTGTGACGTCTGTATTTTTTTTGTTGCAAATGATTCATGGTAAATTTGTTATAGTTTCTGAAGTAGTATTTATTTTTGCCTTGACTTAATTTAACTTAAAAGTTCAAGTGTTTAACCATGTTCTTTAGATTCTGGCTTATTGTGTAAATTTTTAGGTTCATAACATATCCTAACGTCATATAGAAAAAAATGTTTGTGAGACAAATAAAAAAAGATCATTATACGTGAGAGATCCTTCTCTTCAAAAATGAAATAAAGAGCAAAAGAAATGATCCATTAATCAGGCGAGAAAATTCCCAGTACTGGCTGAAGAAACCAATTGTTTCAAAGAATGTTACAAGTAAAAGAAAGAGTGAAAATTACAGCCTTGATGGGAGAGATATAAACTCTTCTAGGATATAGTCATGAAAACTATCCATGATATAACTAAAAAAAAAAAATGCTTGTGAGACAAAGTAAAATGGAGAACCCAATACAAAAATAATATAACATTTTGGAGAAAGAGAAAAATACTGCTTTCAAGACAGAAAAAAAAAGGCCCAAGTTAGAACGAAGAAGATAGTATATAAAGTTAATAACCATTCCAGATGA